GCCGCCCCCTCCCGTCGCCTCGTCGCGGCGCCTAGGGGGCCCGCGCGCGGCCCCTCCCGTCGCCCGTCGAGCCGCCCTCGGGGGCCCGTGCGCGGCCCCCCTCCCGTCACCCGCCGTGGCGCCCTCGGGGGGCCCGCGCCCTGCTTCTTCGTGGCGCCCAAGAGCCACCCCGCTGCCTCCCTTTCCCTCCGTGCCCCGCCCCTGCTGTTTCCCGCGCTCCTGCCTGCGTTAGGGTTTGGGGGTGGCGGGCATGGGGGTGACCGGTGTGGGTAACCTGCGGCTCCTCCTCCTCCTCCGTCTCCCACTGCTGCAGCTGCCGCTGAGGGGGGTGGGTGTGTGGGAGCCGAGGGTTTAGGGTTTAAGGGGGGTGCCGTGGAAGTGGAGCTAGGGTGTCAGCAGGGGGTGTGTGAGAGGGGCGTGGGACGGTCGGGGGAGGTTGCGTGGAGGTAGCCGTCGTGACGCCAGCAGCGCCAGTAGTCCGGATGCCCTCGCGCGTTTCGGTAGCCCAGCGAGCCTGCTTCGCCAGTCGCCTGTGGGTCCGTTGCTCCTGTGTGTGCTCGTCGTAGCCGCGGAGCCAGATACTCCCGTAGTCCGGTGCCCTCGTGCGCTCGGTAGCCACTGTGCGCGCCGCTCCTGTTGCCCGTGTGTCTGCAGCTTCAGTCGGCGCCTTTCATCTTCTCGCCCTCACAGTTTCTCCTCCTCCTCACTTGCCCTCTATGATCACCTCTAGCTTTGCTTATAATTGTGAACTATTGCTATGCCTGCTCATTGTACTGATTACACCCCACTTTGGCTATGGGGGTGTGTTAGAATGTTATTATTGTCTAGCCTGTAGTGGGGTGCTCTATAGCGAGTACAACCCAGTTAGGGTTTGCTATATGTACCCCAACTGCTGCTAGTGAAACCCCTCTCCTTTCAATCATTCTTGCCTAGTCTTGTTAACATTATTGTGATCTTATACTGGTGATATTTATCAGAGAATGGTTGCTTAGAACAAACATCTTTCAGTGCTGATCAATGGAAATAGACAAAGACCACCTTTTTATAATACTGTATATATGCTTGGACGCACGCACCATGCGGCGAACGTGGAAGCACTCTGGCCGAACTCTCCATGTAATATATATGGTCGTTGGCAAGCAAGAACACTATTGGGCCCGACATGGCCATGGAGGTGTGCACACAGTCATCTAATCAAGGTCATCATTACTTTATGGACCAAATCCGTTGTTGGTCAGATTCTCAAACCATTTTGACACACGAGGAACTGTTAAGTACTTGTTACTGAAATTCTTGCTCGCCTACATTCCGTACGTGCACTGCGGTACGCTACCGAAAGAACCATAGGGATGAGCATAGCTCTAGTTGATGATCGAAGATATTAGACATGATCCTTGTGTCAGAGGTTCACTAGAGATCTTCTATTGATCCTAGGGAAGGGTTACAGGCATGTCATCGGGGAGGCTATGGGCACACTCACTCGCCACACAAATAAGCCATTCTATCCCAGTGGTTAGTGGCTAGGATTCTGACATCTGTAGGGCAATGAAGACAAGCGAGTGCTAGGTTTCAGGACTGTTGTTACACAATAAATGATCGCTTTCTCAATATAAATTTTTTTGAAAGTGTGTAACACTTTCTAAAAACGCATTTTTAGAAAGTGTTACACACTTTCAAAAAAAATTATTTTTTGCAACACACGTTCCGCCGTGCCCATCACCCTCCACTCCCCTCGACCTCTTCACGCATTCCTTCTCCTGCCTTCCGCGTCGCACCTCGGTCACGCTCGTCACTTCCACGCGCATCTTCATTGCGCGCGTCACGCCGCGGCTCAGTCCTTTTCCGGTGACTCGCTCGCAAGTTCAAATCCTACTAGACCTCCATTATAGAGACGTCGACCAATGGGCGAGCAGCAGGTGGTGGGCGATTTTCTGAAAGTCACGCCCAAGCGCTATGCGCCAGCGGCGCCCGCGGAGACGGCGGAAGCGGGGTTTTGGCGCAGCTTCCGGCGGAAAGCGCCCCTCCGCGCCCCTCCACTTCGCCGCCACCCACTCCAACCGCGTGCGCCACTCTCGCCCCCTCCCACTCGCTCCCCGCTCTCCGTTCCGCGGCCCCTTCGCTCCGCTCTTGTATCAATCTTCCTTCGTTCCCCAAAAATCCTCCCTTCTCCTTTTCTTCCCCATATCGGGCTTCCCAGCCCGCCAGTTCCGCACCCTATTCCTCCCCTCTTCTCCCTCCCCTCCCTTCCCCTTCTCCCCCCCTGCATGGTATGCTTAGCATACAGCGGGCGGTTCACGGCGAAAGCTGCTAGTGGCGGGCGGGGACAGGCAGGGCATCGTGTACGTCAGGCGGGTGCCGCTTTGGGGGAGGGGGAGGGGAAAGCGGGAAGCACGGGAGGGAGGAAGGCGATTGGGGGGGGGGGAGGGGGGTTTCTGTGGGTGGGTATGGTGAGAGGATCTGAGTGTGTGAGAGCATGTTGGGTTGTGCTTGCACCTACCCGCACATGCATTGCTGCACGTGCACTCGTTCGTCCCCTTGGTTTCCGTACCTGCTGCTGCAGCTCCCTGTGCGCCTGAGAAGGGGGGATCTAGAATTCAGTTCAGTGTTCCTCACCGCCTGGTCACTGCCCACACCGCTCGCCTCTCACACTCCTCTTCTGCATCTTCCCCTGCCTCTACTGCTTCCTCTCCTCTTCAACTCATGTGCGAATGCGACATGCATGATTCCTCGCCCACTCTGCTGTGTTTCCCCACTCCCAACTAATATGCTGCGTGCCATTGAGGGACTGGCAGGCTCTGCCTCTTCAGCTCCCTACAATGTCTCCACCCCACTGTCCCATTCCTTCACGGTTCACTATTCCGAATGCGCCGTCAAGCGGTTCTTTGTGTCAATGCAGGGATTGGTGCAGGCACCTAAGCCCCTCCTCCTCTTCCCCTTCACCGCCCCCCTCTCTATCCCCCTCCTGTACTCCCCCCTTCAGGGACTGCCCTTGTGTGTGTGCTGGTGGGCAGGTGTTCAACGCCACGACCCGCACAGTGCTGAGACTACTTAACGGCCACACAGAGTATGCATGCACCATGCACCAACCGGCCCACCCACCCACCCACCCATCCACCCATCCAACCACCCACCCACCGACACACACACAATGCTTCCAACTTCCCAGCCTTCCCCCTTGCCTCTCGTTCTCTCCCATTTCCAACCTGTTTGCCCTGGTTTGCCCTTCTTCCCCTCACCGTCCCTTCTCTGCTGTGACCAGGCCCATCCTCTTCACCATCATCTTGCCCATTCCCCACCACCTCGTTCTTGCACACACTCACTGCCCTTACTTCTCTCCTCCCACCTCTTGGACCTCTCCCCCCCCCCCCCCCCCCCCCCCCCCCCCCCCCGGCCTCCTTTTCCCTCCATCTATCACTTCACCCCTCTCCCCCTCCGCCCGGGGTTGTGGTGGTGTGCTGCAGTGCAGTGAGGGCGGTGCACTTAACGTTTGACAGCGCTCTGCACTGGTGACACGTCAGCTCTCAGGTCCGTGCTGCTGCGGATGGCTCTCTCCCCAGTGCTCCTGCTCCTGCTGCACGACGCAAGCTCTCGTCTGTCTACGTCTTGCCTCCACTCTCCACTCGGACCGCCCGTCGTCTCTCCACTCGTAACGTGCAGCTGTTTAATCCTACCATCTGCCATACCTTCTCATAATTTATACACCTCCTGCCACACCACTCACTGCTCTTCCCGCAAGCCTCACACCATCTTCGCTTTTTACTGGTCCTCTCTCTCCCTTCATCCTTCGCCTTTCTCTCCTCTTCCCTCCCCTCCCCTCGCTGCCAATACTCTCTCCAGCACAGCAACTCTTGGCACCTTTCCGTGTACAGCTAACTCTGGACCGTGCACAGTTCAATCACCCCATCCTCGCTCTCTTGTTCCGCATGTGTTCTACCCATCACCCCCCTGTCCCGTCCGCTTCCCTCCCTCTCTACGTCACGCCACACATGGGGATGTATGTATGCCATGTGGGTCAGGCTGAAAATTACTGAGTGGCACAGCGCAAGGGCGTGCATGTGTCACCCACGGCACGCAGCACCGCATCCAACTCCCCTCTCCCAACCCCTTTCCGATCTTCATCCCTGCAACCACTCTTTTTGCCATGTGCACTTATTCCAGGCAGAGGACTACCTAGGGGCGCAGCACAAGCACGTGCATCTCCTGATGGCAGGAGAGTGAAGGGAGGCAAGTGTGTGTGGCAATGACAACAGATTATGGTGCCTTGCATGGCAGCATGGCAGCATGGCAGCATGGCAGCAGCGGCACAGCAAGACCTGGTCATTGTGCGGCAGCGCCCCTTATAGTTAGCCCTCTTGCTCCCAGTAGCCGTGGCAGCGCATGAGAGCCCCTGGCGGGCGGGCACGACAACAAGCTGCACTGCTTCCAACACTCCGCTGCCCTCCCAGCCGCCATGCAGGACGCTTTCTGGAGAATTTCGAGGTTGGTCGCACATGGGGGAGGGGCGTCAGGGGCGAGACAGGGGAGGGGGGATTTGGGGGGAAGGGGGAGAGGAAAGAGGAGGATAGGGGGGGTTATTGTGGTGGGTGCATGTATGTCTGTCCGATCATCTGCTGCTCTCAGAGCTGGCAAGCAGGACTCGTTGCTGGAGAAACTAGAGGCCATGCATGCGTTGGTGGAGGAGCCACACATGTGCACGGGGACGGGCGAGAGAGGAGAATGGGGATATGGGGGGGGTGAGGAGGGAGGAGGGAAGGCACGAAGGGGAACGAGGGGATTTGCGGAGGCTGGGTGCACATGTCTGCCTGCTCTTTGGCTGTGCCCTGAACCACCATGCAGTACACTTGTCTTATAGCCTTTCACCTTTTATACCTCTCCCTTGTTGTTCTCCTCGTTCTGTTTCCCTCTTCTTCAACCTCTCCTTGCTGTGTTCCCACTTTCCTTTCTCCTCTCGCGCCCTGCTCCCCCTTCCGATATCACTGCTCCTCGCTACTAGCAAGGAGATGCTGTGCCGTCTCCCTGCATTTCCCTTCGTGAATAGCTTGCTTTCCTTCTTCCCTCGCCCCTCGGCCCTCCTGCAGATGCTGGTAGCGTGGTGGTGGAGGAGACGATAGCTCCAACCCCCACCCACCCGTCCTCTCCTTCTCCCATTCTCCTCGCCCTTCCAGATGCTGATAGCGGTGTTGGAGGAGATGGTAGCGCGCAACGTGCTCAGCCGCGTCCTGCAGTTCTGCCGAAAGTAAACACCCTTCCTGCATCGCACCTCCCTGCTTGCATCGTCTTTCAGTGCCGCTCTACCTATTCTCGTTATGTGCTTCCCAAGGCTTTCTCTGCCATTGCATCCCACGTCACTCCACCTCTCTGCATTCTCCTACACAGTCACACCGCCACATATACACACCTGCAGTAACCCTCAAGGCCCCCGTCACAGTCACGCCTCACCACCCTTCCTCTCCCTTACCTACTCTCCACACCCTGCTTGGTGTATCTTTCCTCCATAAAACCATCCTCTTCATCCCATCCCCTTTCTGTCCAGCACTAGGTTCACCGCTCTTCCCTTCCCGCCTGCACGCGCACTACCCCCCAACACCCTCGTGCAACCCCCTCCCCCTCCCCCACCATTCGAGCAGGTTGGTACGGCATCAGCGCTACAGCACGTCGCGGCCACGCCAAAGCTGCAGCAGGGGGTGTGGGGTATGTGGTAAAGGACGTAGTTCCCGCCTGCTGCTGCTGCAGCAGCAGTCTGCTGCAGTCTGCTGCTGCAGTGCCCGCCTGTTCTTGTTTCCTGGCTGCTCCACGCTCGTGCCAATCTCCTCCATGCTTCCCTCCATTCAACCCCTTCCTTATCTCCCCTCTTTTTCTGCTTCACTCTTGACTCCCCACCACCAAATATATCAACCCCCACCAACACCCCCCCCTCTCCTCTCCTCCCGCCCCTCCACCCCCCAGTTCCACATGCTGGCGCAGGTGGTGGGGCGGGAGGCGGATGCGCTGGCAGAGCTGGCGGAGCTGCAGGGCTTTGTGCTGCCGCTGCTGCGCGCCTCCACTGCTGCCAACATGACCACACAGGCGGACGCCACCGCCGCTGCTGCCGCCCTGGAGGGTGGCGCCACGGAGCGGAGGACGGCGTGGCTGCATTGTGATGATGTGTGCCTTTGCGTAGAGAAGGGGAGCGGGCTGGGCTAGGGATGGAAGGGTGGAGGGTGTTGGGCTGAGGAAAGCTCCAAAATATGCTCAAAATTGTTACCATCATGGGTCCAAATGGTTCCCAAGTTTATATTACAGAAGACAAGTAAATGAGGCAGGACCTCGTTCGTCGAAGTGCACTGCTGTGTTAGATTGCATGGCAGTTGCAGTAATAGTTGATGGATACATCTCTATTAGAATGCCACATTCTATTTGACCAATACTACAGACGTGCTGGGATTTGGTGGCAAACATTGGGCATTGGGCACTAGGAAAATCAGATTGTGCTATCTGTGCCTATCATTCCAGGATTGCACTATCTGTGACAATCATTCCAGGAAGGCCGTCCCTAATCAGCCATTCTACTTCTTCAGCATCCGTCCCAATCACCTTGAGGCTATTAAGCCCCTTCAGCCAGTTGACACCCTTAGCAGTGATTTTGGCATCCCACAGCCCCAGCTTCTCCAGGCGTGTCAGGTTCCTCAGATGCTTCATGTTGGAATCGGTTACTCCTGGAGGCAGGCTGAAGAGTTTCAGGGAGGTGAGAGTCGTCAGCTGCTTCAGCCCGTCCTCCCTCACTCCACTATCAACCAGCCAGAGAGTCTCCAGTGACGTCAGCTTCCCCACGTGCACCATGCTTGCAGAGGTGATTGACTCACAGCCATCTAAGGCCAATGTCACAAGTGCAGTCAACCATCGCAGCTTCGCTACTCCTGCATCGGTTATCTTGGTCTTACCAAGATAAAGTGAGTTAAGATGCTTCAGGCTGCTAATACCTTCAAGAGAAGCATCCGTTGCATTTGTGACCTCCAGATTAAAAAATGTGAGACTTGTGAGGGAGTAGAGCTGCGTCACCCCCTCTGCAGTGAAGCCGGAGGATTCAGAAAGGTTGATTGACGTGAGAGAGCGAAAGGAGGCGAGTTGAGAGAGAGCAGCGTCGGTGAGGTAGTCATCAATGATATCCATGCGAGACTCGCCCGGAGACACTTTGATCCACACCGTCAGCAGTGCCTGCAGGCACGGGGCAGCAGGAGAGCAGCAAGGGAGCGGCAGAGGGAGGAGCAAGGAGCAGTAAGGGAATCAGGAAGGCACCAATCCGTGCCACAGCAGAATTTCAAAAGAAACGGCCATTAAACGGCAAGGGCAGAAGCAGGGACAGGAGAGACAGGCTATGACATGTGAGACAAAAAATAGGCAGCATTTCAAAATAAACGATCACCTGAACAATTTAGTCAGCAAAGACAGCAGGGACGGGGCGGCAAGGGGAGAATCATGGGCAGCAGGAAGGGCAGCAGGAAGGGCAGCAGGAGGGCAGCAGGAGGGGCAGCAGGAGGGGCAGCAGGAAGAAGGACAGCAGGAACTAAGGACAGGAGCAAGGCAGCAAGGGCCGCAGCAAGGGCCTCACCTCCCAGGTCTTGCCTCCAACCTCTTTCCTCAGTTTCTCCACCGCCATTCGCTTCTCCAGCGCCACCACGCGGTCGCACAGCTCCTGCAGCTCATTCTCCGCGTCAAAATCCTCCTCGCCATTCGCCCCCCACTCCTCCTCGCTCTCGCTTTCCGCCGTGTCCTCGATTTCCACCTCATCCCCCTTTCCTTCGGCCGCATTACCTCCGCCAGTAAGCTTAGGCTCGGTGCCCCCAGCGGCACCAGCCATGCCCCCTTCCCCGGCGACTTCCCCCCCGTCCCCGGCGATTTCCATCTCCCCCTCCTTCCCCGGCCTGGGCGACTCCTCCCTCTTTCGCCGCTTCCCCGCGCTGCTCTCCTCGCGCTCGGCGCGGCTTTTCTCCGCGCGGCCGTCCTTGAGCGCCGCGAGTTCCGCCTCCAGGTCGTTGATGCGCCCCTTTGTGGACTCCACCTCCGCCGCCATGGCGCGGCGCATGTCGGCCATGTCGCGCTGCATGGCAGCCATGGCGTCGCCCTGTTCTTTCAGCTTCGCCTCCAACGCCGCCACGCGCTCGCCGACGCCGCTTGCCATCTCCTCTTTCATAAGCATTTGCGCTGGAATTCTGTCTGGCTTAACTGGTACCACTGATCTCAAAAAGGGTGGCGGGGGTAGAAAGGGACTGCCGAGTGTGTAATTGGAATGCAGAATGTATGTTTGTATAATCTCAAGCACTTGTCTGAAACTAACTTCTTGTAGTGCCGAGTCGCCCGCTTTTCAAAACCGAGCCAGCTGCGTTCACAGCCCAGGCAGCTTTCCCGCGTGTTCCTGGCGAGCCTATATCGTCAAGCAATTTCATTGGATGGTGTGCGCGCTCTGTGGGTTCAGTTCAGCCTGACATCCACCTCCCTCGCCAATCACAGTACATTAGGGCGTGCTCCGAAAAACGAACTTGATTCTGGACACGTCCTCACACGAAATGCATGAGCGGAAAATTTTACGTTCCGTTTCCCTACACGAGTCTGTGATAGTCGCGACTCTGCAGTGCGGCGAAACTTAATCTCGCCACGTTATATGATGGAGTCGCCTCGAAAACGAATTCTCATTCATGCGAAGTTGTTACATTTGCAGTAAGACTGTCGCACTGAAACTTGCAACGTTATTTCATGGTGCCAATTGGCCCGCATCCCAAAACCTACCTGATTCCGAGCCAGCCACGCGCTGCTCAGGCAGCTTTACCGCGTGTTCCAGTTCAAACCGATACCCCCCACATCAGTAACTCGCCAATCAGAGCACTTAGTGCAGCACGCAACCAACAGAAAAATGACAAGTGTTCTTCCCATAACTGACGTGTTCGAGGGTATTTATCTAGTGGGTCTGATGTGGCTCGATAGTACCCTTCAGGCCTTGTGCACCCCTTCATAATACATATTGTTATGAGTTGTTAAAGAGAGTGCGCAGATGAACTAATAACGAGACTGTGATTGAACGAATTGAGAACACAATGAAGGCACACACTAATGTAGGGGCTAGCCTAGCTAGGATCTACTCAGGAGGGTTCGCACGCAGGTAGATAGTGTTGGTGGGCCCTTGACCTCAATAGCAGAGTGAATGTAAAATGTTTGAGATGATTTAAAACGTGCAAATACAACGATGTAAATAAAAGTACAGGGGGACTCGAATTGTCCTAACTAGCCATGTACTCCAAGGAGTACATTCCCTTATTCAAGCTCATTCCCAACCGTGCGGCGCGTACAGTTACGAAACTGTTCCTGCCACAACCCTCCTGCCTACAGCTGCCCGATGCCGTCTGCTTCCGACGGTCCAGATGCATCTTAACCGTCTGAAGTTTCGAGTCAATCCTGGCTCTTCGCCTTCGTTCTCAATAGTGTGTGCTTCTTTGGCTGCGGTCGGGAGTGCACAGTAATGTTCATTCATTTCTATCGTAACACCCCCCTTCACTCCTCGCCGTAGCTCAATTTGACCTGCCTGACCACGCTGCTGAGTTCGGAGCAGTGCTGATACTGCTGGCGTGGCAGTCGCTTCATAAGAGAATCTGCTGCCATGTCACCGGTTGGGCAATAGGTCAAGTCAACCTTGCCCTTGTCCACTTCGTCCTTAATGCAGAAATACCGCAGCGCAATGTGCTTGGTGCGGTTGACGAAACCAGGTTTGTTCGCGATGCGAATTGCGCTCTGGTTGTCGCAGTGAAGACGGAAGGTTGGCGAAGCTGGAATTTTCGCCTCCTGCAGAAGTTCCTGCAAGTAGAGGCCTTCGCGAACTGCTGCGGTTGCTGCGATGAATTCCGCTTCGGCTGACGACAGGGCAACCAGCTCCTGCTTCTGCGAGTTCCAGGAGATTGGTCCCGTTGGTTCGAGTCGGAACAGGAAACCAGTCATGGACCGTCGATTGTTGGGATCTGCTGCGTGATCGGCGTCCACGTAGCCGATGAGGTTGAAGGATGGGGTTGGTGCAGTCGAGTAAGACACCCCAATCTTAGGCATTGAGACGAAGAACTGTAGGGCGCGCTGCAGATCCAGAAGATTCTCAGCCGTTGGTTTGCGAGAATACTAAGCCAGCTGACTTCCGATGTAGGAGAGGTCGGGCCTGCATGTGACAGAGGCGAAGAGCAGGCATCCCAGCTGCTGCCGGCAAGTCTGAACTCCAGCAGGGGACAGGGCTATGTTGTCAGGTTTGTGGTTCGATCCTGGAGTTCGGTAGGGAGTGGAGAGCGGTGCAGGCGAGATACTGAACCACTTCCCTAACTCCTCTGCGTATTTAGCCGCTGAGAGGTGAATGGCCTTAGGTGCGTAAGAGATGTTGAGGCCTAAGAACTACTTCACCTTGTAGTTGCATGTGATGTCAACGCGCTCCGCGAGGCTTTTCTCGAACTGCTCGAGTAACTCGTTGCTTGATCCCGTGTAGAGCAGGTCGTCGACGTACACTGTGAGGAGAATGTATTCGCCGCGGAAATCGCGGCGGTACATCCCTGGATCGTGCGGCATCTGCTTGAACCCGATTTCAAGCGAAACGTTGTGTAGCTACTGCTGCCACAGCCTTGGTGCCTGCTTGATCCCGTGAAGGGACTTACGCAGTTGGCATACGCGCGAATCCCGTTCGCCGTATGTATGCGGCTGCTTCATGTAGATCACGGCGTCTACTAACGCGTACAGGAACGCGTTCTTCACGTCGATCTGGCGTAGAGGCAGGTGCCTTGCGGCTGCGATGGCGAGCAGGATTCGGACGGAGGTGTGGCGGCTGACCGGAGCAAATGTCTGATCGAAATCGATCCCGTGGCTCAGGTCATACCGCGCACCACCCATAGCGCCTTGAAGCGCTCGATCGTTCCGTCAGCTGCGGTCTTCACGCGGAAGACCCATTTCCCCGAGAGGACTCTCGCGCCCTTGATTTCTGCGCGGTTGACTAACACCCAGGTGTCTCGGGATTCGAGCGCCTTGATCTCTGCATCCGTTGCCTCGCGCCATTCTTTGCTGTGTGGTCCAGAGAGCTTGCACGGATTTCGTGGTTCGATGACGCATGGCGCAGTCGAGGTTGCGGTGTGGAGCCCAAGCAACTGCAGACCTGAGACAGTGGTGTCGTGGCGACGTTGCGAGATGACCTCCTATACGCCGTCGTCATCACTCTCTGGTTCAGGTGGTGCTGGTGGTGCTGCGCCTCTGCCGCTTCCGCCTGTTCCGCCCATTCCTCCTCCCGAGGAATCGTCGTCGTCGTCGCTGCTGTGGCGATCTCCCCATGTGAACTCGCCCCTAGTGTCCTGCTCCAGGATTGTTGCAGCGGCTTCGTCTTCGGGCGTTGCGTAGCTGTGCCCATCGTTCGCGTAAACGCGATTCGCGTTCGTCTGCTCGTCGTGGCGGAACTGCTCGAGGAGGAGGCACTTGTAGAAGGTTACGTCGCAAGCGTGGGCGGTTTTCTGACTGAGGAGGTCCAGCACGATCCACGCTTTGTACTCGTGACTGATGCCGAGGTGAATGCCCCAACGCGCGCGACTAGCGAATTTGCCGATGGTTGACGTCGGCGGGCGGTATTGCACCATACATCCCCACACGCGGAGCATTGATGTGTCCCCCTAAGTCCCGGTCCATTTGACATGCGGAGACAGATTGCCGGTGATGGCTGTGGTTGAAAGCAGGTTGTGCACCCGCTCGGCATGGTGCATCGTGTAGGTCCAGTAGATCGGCGACAGCTTCGATTTCTTCATCATTGCTCGCACCTTCGTCATGAGCGTGCGGTTCGTCCGCTCAGCTACGCCCTGCTGCTGGTGCGCGTAGGGGAGAGAAATGTAATGCTCAATCCCCTTTTATGCCGGGTAACTCTGCATCTAGTTGCTCCTGAACTCTGCTGCGCCGTCAGATTGCCAAATTTTCAGCTTCTCCCCAGACTGTCGCTGCGCGTGTGCTAGCCAGAGGCGAAATACCTCATAGGCTCTGTCACGAGACTCCACGTTCGCGACCCATACATAGCGCGTTCCGGCGTCGATGAAGGTAAGCGTGTACATTTCGTCGTCGACTCCGCAGTGCCCCACGTTCAGGAAGTCGCTGTACACCTTGTGCAGCTTGGGGTAGCGGTTCGTCCCTGGCTCGAGCAGCGGGAACGGTTGGTGGCTCAGTGCAGCTTCAAGACAGACGGTGCAGTTGCGCGGGTGTGTCGCGCCTCTCACTTCGGTGCCATCTGGGCGCAGGAGCGCTCCAGGAGCGAAGACGCCTGCGTCGATGCAGTTTTTCAGCGTCGCGCGTGAAGGATGTCCGAGGCGCTGGTGCCAGAGTGCATCGTCAGCGCGAAAGCCGGAGGTGCGCATGTAGCGCACACGAGCTTCTTCGGGGCCTTCGTCAGCTACGGGGGAAGGTGCTTCTACTGCCTCTTCTGCTGCTGCTTCTTTGTTGTTGGCGGTAGTCATCATTAGCGCCAGAAACTCTCTGTCGCGGATTTCAGAGAGGGGATATTAGTCCCAGGGATGGTTACCGGGACAAAGGTAAGTTCACGTGGTTCAGTAGCGGGTCCATAGACGGTGCGACGCGGGGTTGACGGCTCGTTGCCCCAGTTGATGGTGTCCCATGGATCGCGATGCGGTGGGTTGTCAGGAGGAGGTAATGCGAGTGGAGCGTGGCGCGAGGGACGACCAAGGGGAACAATTGCAGATGTTGCCTCTGCTTCTTCTTCTCCCCCCTTTTGTTCTTCGCGGGAAGTCCCCCTGCCGCTGTTGACGGCGCTGGTTGTGGTGCCCCATCCGTCGCTTGCAGTTGCCCAGGTTCCGCCGGTGTTGCCCCATACGCCGGTATCGCTCGTTCCCCATCCGCCGGTGCTTCCCCACCCCCCTTCATTGGAGGCGCTCTCTTCTTCTTCGGCTCCCCATGCGCCATAGGCGAAAGTTCTGCGTGCTTCGGCGAGACTCTGGCGGGGAAGCTCCTCTGCTTCGCGGCGCGCCAGTTCTTCCTCTTGCTTGACGGTGAGCTTCTTCGTCGAGTCGCGCTGGTGAGAGTAGATTTCCAAGAATTTTTGAGTGTGTAAGGCCGCGGTACGTTGTGCGCATCGAAGGTGCCGATGCCAGTACCGCACAGTATGCCTTGAAGGTGCTGCGAGGGGGGTCC